ACCTGAGGGCACAATACTTGCTCAGCCAGTCTGTTGAATGCACAAATGGCCACAAGTGGAATCCCCTCTGGGTAGCCACGTTTTTCATGGATCTGGACACTCAGACAGTGAACAGCTGTCTCGCTGCCAAATCTTCTGTCTGGTTAAAAAGCAAAGACTCATCAATGACCACAGGCGGGCTGGTGCCAGAGAGGAAGAGAGGCAAGAACGCTTGCTTCGATCCTTGAGGATTTTTGTTCCCTGGACAAGTTTCTGCAAGCAAACAATTCTCGGGGCTCTATAAAAGATGAACAGCATACAATCTTTCAGTCAATTCCACCTCCTTCTCTTAATTTTTAGTAACAAATGACGTTCAAGGGCAAGGTTACAGAGAGAAACAGCGATAAGGGATGAGGGATGGAAGCTCTCTCATGTGGACTGTGGTCTCCTGTTTTTGGAGCCAAAGCTCAAGCAGTCAGTCTGGCAGTTCCCCAGAAGGTTAAACACAGAGTTCCCATACGATCCTGCAATTCCACTCCTGGGATACAGCCCGGAGAAACAAAAACATACGTCCATACAAAAACTTGCACACAAAAGTTCAAGGAGGCAGCATTATTCATAATAGCTAAAAAGTAACAACCCAAACAGCCATCAACTGAAGGATGGATAAATAAAATGTGATATATGTATATAACGAATATCACTTAGCAATAAAAAGATACGAAGTAGGAACACATGCTACAACATGGATGAATCCTGAAAAGATTGTTTTTTAAATTTTTTTCATGAAGTATAGTTGATTTACAATGTTGTGTTACTTTCTGGTGTACAGCAAAGTGATTCAATTATATATATGTTTGTGTATATATATATATAATTTTTCATATTCTTTTCCATTATGGCTTATTACAGGATATTGGATAGAGTTCCCTGTGTTATACAGTAGGACCCTGTTGTTTACCCATTTTATATGTTATAGTTTGTATCTGCTAATCCCAAACTCCTACTTTACCTCTCCCTCACCCCCTTTCCTCTTTGTTAACCATAAGTTTGTTTTCTGTGTCTGAGTCTGCTTCTGTTTTGTAAATAAGTTCATTTGTATCATATTTTAGATTCCATATGTAAATGATATCATATAGTATTTGTCTTTCTCTTTCTGACTTACATCACTTAGTATGATCATCTTTAGGTTCATCCATGTTGCTGCAAATGGCATTATTTCATTCTTTTTTATGGCTGAGTAGTATTCCACTGTATATATATATATATATATATATATGTATATGCAGTGTGTGTGTGTGTGTGTGTATCTTCTTTATCCAATGATCTGTTGATGGACAGTTTCCATGTCTTGGCTATTGTAAATTGTGCTACTATGAACATTGGGGTGCATGTATCTTTTCGAATTAGAGTTATCTCTGAATATATGCCCAGGAGTGGGATTGCTGGATCATATAGTAGCTCTGTTTTCAGTTTTTTAAGGAATCTCCATACTGTTCTCCGTGATAGCTGCACCAATTTACATTCCCACCAACACTGTAGAAGGTTTCCCTTTTCTCCACACCCTCTCCAGCATCTGTTACTTGTAGACTTTTTAATGATGGCCATTCTGATCAGTGTGAGGTCTGAAAAGCTTGTTTTAAATAGAAGAAGCCAGTCACAAAGGACTACACATTAAATGATTCCATTTACGGGAAATGTCTAGAAGTAGCAAACCTATAGAGACAGAAATTAGGTTAGTGGTTTCCTGGAGCTGGGGTGTAATAACCACTAATGGGCAGAGGGTTTCTTTCAGGGATAACGAAAACATTCTAAAAGTAGACAGTGATGATGGTTGCCCAGCGCTGTGAATAGCACTTTGTAAATAACTGTTGAATTGTCTACTTTAAATGGGTAAACTGGTGTTTGAAATCTATCTCAATAAAGCTGTTATTTTAAAAAGAAGCTCATGCAATAACCAAATCCTTCTATAGTCTGCACAGGGCTGGAGGTGCTGGCCTGTCATGGAAGGAGAAAAGCAGCCCCGCCCTGTACTCTCTGGGGCTCTGTGGCGGTGACAACCCCCTGACCCTCCACACTAGCCTGCCTTGGTCTCCTATTCATCTCCACTCATCCCAGACTCGCCAAGCACCTACTGTCGGCTAGAGCTGTGCAAGGCACGTGCCCTGCAGATGAAGGAGGAACAGCCTTTGTCCTCAAGGAGCTACCACTTTCATAATCATTCATCTACCACAGAGCAGGAAACAACAAGAGGAGAGTTCTAAACGGTATCCTGCTGTGGCCTGTGGGCAGAAAAGAACTTATCAAGTCTGGGTTCCAGAAAAGTGGACTCATGCCACACTGGAAGAGCACACACAGGTCTGGTGTGCAAATATCTCAGAGGCAGGGTGCGGCAGGGCGCGCAGGGCTGGGTGGGGGACACCCCTGGAGTCACAGCCGACAGGAAGCTGAAAGGCACAACCCCCAGGGCCATGAAGCGGTGCCGGCATTACCCTTAAATTCCATCGGGCAGTCCTGTGGGTGTTTGCAATTTTGTTTACTTTTTTTAAAGGAAAGAGGAGATGGGGGAGGAGAGATAGAACCCGAATGATTACTCAGCGTTTCCATCACGTTGAATGTTTGCAAAGCACTCCTGCCCTCACTTCGTCCTGAACTGCCTGGAAGCAGCAAGGAATTTGAGAACCCAGCCAAGAACTCAGAGTACTCAGCAGATAGAAGGACCTACCACTGCATCTGGCAAGGCGCGCGCACTATTAAAATAATTAATCCCATAAAATAAACACTATTTTAAAACGTGAGCCAGTCTAAGAGTCTCTGTAAAGCTGACGCGCCATTTGGTAGTTAATGAACTGAATGAGTTCATATTCTAAGTCTCCCCTTTCCTTGGCACACGTCCACTTCTACAGATTGGGTACTGGTGTCCTTCTTCGAGATGAAAGAATTCTGTGTCTGGTCAACAGCATAATGCTTCAGTCATACCTGAACATACATATATTCATTTTCGTATTACATTGTAAACTGACTATGTAAAAAAGAAAAGAATTCTGTGTCTGGCATCCCACGTATATTATGGATTAATAAGAAGATAATAAGAAAAGCGGGGGAGAGGGTACAGCTCAAGTGGTGGAGCGCATGCTTAGCAGGCACGAGGTCCTGGGTTCAATCCCCTGTACCTCCATTAAAATAAATAATTAAATAAACCTAATTACCTCCCTCCCACTAAAAAAAAAAAAATTAAGAAAATCGGCTTCTTGCGGCCAGGACCTATAGCACCTGGATCATCACATTCCAGATGAAGCCACGACAAAGTAACAGCTTTTTGTATGATTGCCTATTAGCCAGGCCAGCACTTCTGGCAAGCGTACCCCTGTGTGAGTCACAACACATTAGATGGATGCAGGTGGCTTTTGGACTCGAGCCCCAGAAGGTATTCGACACGGACGAGTTTGTGTGTTTATATTTATATTCAGCTAAGCTCAGTGACCACCTCAGCTTGTTCCGCAGGAATGTCACTTTTGGGAATGCTCACTGGTCAACTCAGAGATTGCTCAGTAAAGTATAAATAGTACACACACTTAAAATTACCACTAATACGAATCCTATGAGGACAAAGTGCTTCAATTAACTATTTCAAGAAGCATGTTGGGGTCACATAAAAATGAAAAAAAGAAAAGAATACAAAATGTATTTAAAAGATACCATCTACTCGAATTCAGATCAACTCTCCACTCTGTCATCCCACACGCCGCAGGTCAAACAGAAAAGCTGGAAAACACACAGACACACACACACAGGAGCTCACATGGTAAAGTGAAGAATTACCAGGTCTAGATCTGAAAAAGATCAAACTCGGAAAGATGAGGCCAGCACTGGGGGCTGCTTTCCTCTGGGGCAGCTGCTGAATTAAGAAAAGTTTCCCGAGTGGCTGAGCAGCATTTCTGATGGCCTTGTGGGGCCAGAAGGACAAAAAAACTGGAACCCCGGCACTGCCAGTGAACTGGCTGGAATTTCAGACAAAACAGACTAGGGAAAAAAGCAACAGTGCAGGTGAAGGTAACCATTTAGAAAGTTTTACAGACAGGAATTAAAAGTTGGAATTATCAATCAATCAATCAATCAACAAAGCTGGAATGATCTAATGTACCAATTCTAAAATTGTATGCACCTAAAAACAGGCCTGAGAACACAGAAAGCACAAAACTGACATCACTGTAAATTGATACAAACTGCAGTCGTGGTGGAATATTTAACTCAGTTCTCTCAGTAACAGAAAAAGCAGGAAAAAAATGTTAGCATGTAGCAAATCTGGGGGGAGAAAAAGAGAAACAAAATCAGAAACTAATTCTCATCCATAGAACTTTGTGCCCAGTAACTGTAAAATATACATTCTTTTCAAGCCCCTGTGGAATCTGAACGTGTGCCTTTTACCTGTACAATGAAGAAAAGTGTGTCCTCAAAGACTAGAAAGAGTGGTTGAACCGGGCCCCTGACAAAGCGATGTGACCGAGTAAGGCTTGGGGGACCCATGGTTTCAACAGGCAAAGGAGTTCAAGAGGATAAGCAGATGGTCCTAGTGTCCCGGTGACTTAGGGACACCATGGAATTGATATCATCAGTAAATCTCTCCCTCACTTCTTCCCCAGTCTGGCAACATTCAGTGCTGAGTAGAAAGAGCCACGTAACCAGCAGTGCTTCGTCCGCGCTCCAGCCAGCCCGGTGTCCCTCGGAGCCAGTACTGCATCCATTCCTTCTTCATCCAGTGGCTGGCGCCCCACAGAGCCTTGTACTTTGATTCTGGGTGTCCAGGCACACCTGCACTTAACGCACCCAGCTGGCTGTTTTGAAATCGCCCTCAGTATAAGGCTGTATAACCCGAGTACTTCCTAGAGTGTTACTACCCTGCTTCAGGAAACAAAGTATGTTGCTGTCTGCTCTGAGTGCGTCATTAATAAGTAACATCCCCTGTTCCTGCCTGCCCCTCCCACCCCCACCCCGTCTGGCAGAAGGCCATCCAGACTTACCCTCATACATCTCCAGGATGTGAACCGTGTCTCCAATCTGCAGCGACAGCTCCACATCTTGGGAGGCGTTGAAGTTATAGATGGCTGGAAATGAGAAACAAAAGCGGGGAGAAATGGCGTCAGTGGCAGTTAAGACACAGGTCACCGAAGAGCACATCCAGCAGCGAGCGAGCCATTTCTTGAACACATAACCCTCTCTTTCATCATTTCACGTGAATCACCCACCGCAAAGCAGAGAACGTTCTCCTGGGTCCCCATGACTGGTATTTTACTGTCATTCCTCCATCCAGCAAATACTGGTTGGCTGCCTACTATGTACCGCAGAATCGTGCTGGAGACCAGTGACAGAGTGTTGAAACACACATGCATGGTCCCCATACCAAGGGATTTTTAATAATCTAACATGGGAAGAGAGATCGTAAATATATTATTACAGAAACAATGACAGAATTAAAATGGTGATGAGAGTTAGGAAAGAAAAAGAACCAGGCTATAATGAGACTACATTGTGGGGGTCTGTGGGTCAGTCCTCTTGTGAGTCAGACAAGAGCCAGGCTACACCACCACTGAGCTTGCCAGCTTCCCTGACACAGAGGGCCGCTTGTCAGTCCCACCCACCCTCCGGAAACAGACTTAAGCAGGCTTCAAGGCAGGGATGGCTGCGTTGCCCCAATTCTAGGCACCCTGGGGAAATGGGCTGCCCCAGCACATCCCCATCAAGGTGACCTCTATCACCACAGTCCTTAGGACTGGTAATGACTGGACCAGATCGTGAAAACCAGGGGACGACCTCTTAGAACTCAACGAGAAGAAGACAATCCAATTTTAAGATGGGTAAGAGCTCTGAAGAGACACTGTGCCGGGCGTCACAGATGACGGCTGGTTAGCACAAAAAAAGCTGCTCCCACACCGTTAGTCATCAGGGAATGCGAATTAAAACCACAGATGAGATTCCACTTCACACCCTCTAGGATGGCTATGATTTTTAAAAGGCAGACTTGGCAGGAAGGTGGAGAAACTGGAACCCTCAAACACTCCTGGTAGGAATGTAAAATGATACGCCTCTTCAGAAAAGAGTTTGGCGGTTCCTTAGAAATTAAACATAGATTTACATACAATCCAGCAATTCCGCACCCAGTTATCTACAAAGGAAAATGGAAGCATGTCTACACAGAAACTTTATGTGAATATTTATAGCTGCTGTGGGAGACAGAAACATCGCCCCCAAAAGATATCCCCATCAGATTGTTTTTTTAATTGATGTGTAGTCGGTTTACAATGTTGTATTAATTTCTAGTATACAGCATAGTGATTCAGCTATATACATATATATTATTTTTCATATTCTATTTCATTACAGCTTATGACAAGATACTGAATATAGTTCCCAGTGCTAGACAGTAGAACCTTATTGTTTATCTATTTAGTATATAGTAGTTAGTATCTGCAAATCCCGAACTCACAATTTATCCCTCCACCCTCCCCTTCTCCCTCCACTGTAAATAAGTTTGTTTTCTATGTCAGTGAGTCTGTTTCTGTTTTGTAAGTAAGTTCATTTGTGTGATTTTTTTATATTCCACCTGTAAGTGATATCAAATGGTCCTTTTTTTTTCTCTTTCTGGCTTACTTCACTTAGTATGGTAATCTCCAGGTCCATCCAGGTTGCTGCAAATGGCATTATTTTCTTCTTTTTTATGGCTGAGTAGTTAGTACACATCAGATTTTGGAACCTCTGAATGCTTCCTTATGTGGCAAAAAAAAACCCAAACAAATAAACCCTGAGCAAGTTAAGGGTACTGAGAGGAGGTTATTCTGAATATTCAGCGTGTGTCCTCAACATAATCACTTGTACTTTGATGAGAGAGAGACAGGACGTTTTGAGAGATGCACAGAAGAGAAGGCAACGTGAGGATGGAGGCAGGGGTAGAAGTGATGTGACCTCAAGTCGAGGTACCACAATCACTAGAAGCCAGAAGATGCAAGGAATGGAATCTCCTCTAGAGCAGCTGGAAGGGGCACAGCCAGCTGACACCTTGATGTTAGACGTCTGGGCTTCAGAACTGTGACAGAATAAAATCCTGTTGTTTTAAGCCACCAAGTTTGTGGTAGTTTGTTATGACAGCCACAAGAAACCAGTATAGCAGCCTTACTCACAATGACCAAAAACCGGAAACAACTCATCAGCTGAAGGATGAATGGATGAATAAATGGATGGTATATCCCTACAGTGGAATATTACTCAGCACTAAAAAGGAATGAATCACACAGACCACAACGTGGATAAACTTAAGAAACATTATGTGAAATGAAAGTCATATGCACAAAACATACATTAAGTTTCCACATACATACAATGTCCAGAATAGATACATCCATCAGAGATGCAGGGCAAGTGATCGGTTCCTGGGATTGGGGGTGGGAATGGTAACTGAGCACAGGAAGCACAAAGGAGCTTTACAGGAGAGACGGAAACATCCTAAAACTGGGCTGGCTTGTGGTGATGGTCATGTAACTCCGTGTACTTACTAAAAATCAATGGATTATATGCTTAAAAATGGGTTGATTTTATGATATGTCAATTACACTTCAAAGAAGTTTTTTTTTAAGTTGACTTCTTTCTTTTTTTAAAAAAACATTTTTTATTGATTTATAATCATTTTACAATGTTGTGTCAGGTTGATTTATTTCTTGCTCTTGCTCAGGATGAGTGATCTACATTCTTCCAGGGAAAAAGAACCATCTTAAAGATTCGGTTCCACCCACTGACCTGACGATCTAAGGAGCCCACGATGCTCCCAAACTCTGCAGCTCTGATGAGCAGAGGAGGCTGGTCTGGTCACTGGATCCATCAGTCCGTCTGCCGGATCCCACAAGGGCCATTAAAAAGGGAAGAAAGGTGTCCCTGGCATTTGCCAGTCGTGGGGACCTACTGATCTTCCCTGAGCCAGCACCGCACCTCGATCTGCAGCCTCACTGTGTGCTTTTCCCTACATCACAGTCCATCTGTCCGTCAAAGGAAGGCGCACACCTCCAGCCACCTTTCTCAAGTGGCCTCTCTTTTTGAAGAGAATCACCCAAAGTCCAGAGTCTTGGCACAGAAACCTGAACAGATACTGTTGGAATTGCTTTACTACTGAGCTTTTGGACTATTCCATGCATTCAGAACAAGGACTGACTGGTGAAGTGGGTGAGGAGAAACTGCACCGAATTCAGAAGGAGAGGTTAGCTCTGGGTGTTAGACACCTTCGTGGGCCACAAGCCACAGCCACTATTCCACTGAAGTTCACTTCCTCCGCCTGATGGCCAGTTGATGCAAGTGTCTGCCCACTAAGGACGTAGATGGTTTTCTAGAGAAAATGTGGCTCTCCCATCCCTGACTCCCCCGAGCCCCCGTTCACCGCCTCCCACCGAACTGGTTCCTTCCAGCAGCCCCGCCGGCAGGCGGCATCCGGAAGTAGCGAGGTCGCTGTGTCACACTGTGTTGTGTAGTGACCAAGCGTCACCTCTCCCTTGCTCTTAGTCATCAGGAAAGTGAGCAGAAGCTCTCAAAGGTGGCCCCCGGCAATGGCAGCTCCAAGCACAAACACCTACCAAGGACTGCTGTGAACACACACAAACACGAACGAACACACACACACACACACTCACACACACCATAGACTGTTAGGTTTCCCGAAATCCTAGACTCCAAAGCCTGACAAAGTACTCCCCAAATTACCCACCTCTGCCTCCAACATCTGCCAAATTCCACCCTCTGCTCCAGGCAAGACTTTTCTATTCTCCCCTAAATTCTGTGCTCAACTCATGGATTACCTCTGCCTGGAACAACAGCATATCTTTCTCTTCCTAGCACTGAGAAGCTCACATTCACAATTCCACAAATGATTACTGAGTCCCCATCACCCCGCAAGGATCTCCTGCTTCTCCGAGCCCCCCACCTTTTCCTTCCAACACAGTTTGGGTTTCTCATCACAGATAATCTGTGTTATCTATCATCTGCCAGCAATCGGAAGGTAAACTCCTCACCAGTGGGGAACCTGGTTACACAGTCATCTGTGTCTGTCACATTCCAAGGCACCGGACGAGGCCCCACGAAGGTGCTCCAGGCACAAGAGTGACTTTTATAAAATCCGCCTATCAATTCAGTTACTCACCACTTCTTCCCCAAACTTCAGGGCACTTCTGCCTCCCTCGGGAGCAGCAGCTGTGGTTTCCCACCACCCAGGAAAGGGATATCAGATCCCCTCTCTGGCCTCTTTTTGCTGATTACACGAGAGACTCTGCCTTTCCAAGCCAAGCCTTTGAAGAGACTCACATGGGAAACACATCCTTCAACAATGCCTTTCACTGGAGTGACAAGTCACCAGTTACAGGACATCTGTACCACCTGTTTGATGTCTTTGGGCAGAAGTGTCAACAAGATTTCCCTTCAGTTCCAGCCATCGTCTCTTCTCACTCACCGCAGACCTGAGAACCAAGTCCATCCTATCCTCTCTACGCACCTCGTTTCCGCTGTACTTTACGGTTTCACTTCCACAGGGGATACAGTAACTGTATCCAGTGGGTGCTAACTAACCACATTATTTAATGAGGAAACTGAGACTCAGAAGGGGGAAGCACTTTGCCCCCAAGGAACCCAGCTTTACAAGCAGCAAAGCTGATACCAACATGGTCCTGTGATGACCCATTCATCTCATTTTACCAGGCTGGTCCTGGATGGCAAAGGAATGCCCTCCGATAGCCCAGAAGCAGAGAAAGGAGTCTGACAGATTCTCAGTATGTTGTCTGCCTTAGAAGTCTCTCATTCAGTGAGACTCCACTTCCCAAATCAAGCCTGATCATACAAATCAGTGACTGGGGAATCATGTCTGCTTGTCCGGTACTGTTTCCAGAACTGGCACATAATTAATACACTCCCTGGAGCGTCTTCTCCCTGAGACGTGAGTAACTGTTAGAGAAAGACAGAGAAGGGGGAACGAAGGAAACCCTTCAGGTTAAATAAAAATGAAGACTCGAGGAGGGATAAATTAGGAGTTTGGAATGAGCAGATACAAACTTCTATATACAAAACAGATAAACAAGGACAGGGAACTATATTCAATATCTTGTAATACACTATAATGAAAAAGAATATATATATAACTGAATTACTATGCTGTAAGCCAGAAACTAACACAACATTGTAACTCAGCTATT